TTTAATGACATCACTATGCAAAAAATTCTGAGTCAGTGCACTATTCGGATCAAGATAAAAATGTATTTATTAATGCGGTGATGGAACGAAATCTCGTACAACAAACATTGTTTAACTCCTTATTCCTTTTACGTATATTTATTAAATATATGCATATGTAAACGTTGATTAACAATACTTAATTAAATTTTCTTACATAAAGTTAAGATCCCGTTGTAAAGTTTATGTTTCTTGAAAACAAAAATAACGATCACATCTGTCAACGTAACGACGTGTCGATTCTTAGAAACTACGAAATTCACCAACATTAAGTGGGCTATTGTGTAACTGTACCTAACAATAATTAAAAATCAAATGATCTTTTCAAAAGAGATAAATCTCAATAAAACATAATGCATGATGTTGAAGGTCGCAAACGAATAGCTACATGAGTATGATATAAGTCCAACAATAAGTTTCGAATACAATGATTTAAAGATTCTTAGATACTAGATCACTATCAAAAGAATTTGTGCCAAGTTACAAGAAAAAATCGTGTATATGAATTGTCGCCTAAGTAAAGTAACAGCCTTTACATGTCCCACTGCTGGGCAAAGGCCTCGTCTATACAGAGGGTATCAAGGCATAGTCCACCACGCGGCCCCACTGCGGATTGGCGGACTTCACATATTTTCGAAATATATTTTTGTTATTATTTCGAAAATATGCAGGTTTCCTCACGATGTTTTCCTTCACCGCGGAGCACGTGATAAGTCAGCACTTAAAGTTAAAAACTTCATTGGTGCCGGCACCGGGGATCGAAATCAGGTTGCTCGCGTATATTGAATTAAAGGTGAGCGCCCGGACACTGAGCTATCACGGCTCTTTGTCGCCTACTATATACGTAACAAAAGTAACTGCAATAAGTTTTTAGTTCTAGCGTATACAGCATTGAAGATAGGTAAACAAAATAACATTTTTAAGGCTGATATTATATTCATAAATCTGTATATGTAAAATCGAATGACGTATCTTATATCCTGTACCATCTCTCTAAGGGAACCAAGAAAATGATTTGAGTTAAAATTAATGGACAGAACTGAACATTTCCTATATTACCATGCAATATAAAGAACGTTAGATAAACTCATCTAATTTATTATAAATAATTATATTTGTTAAAACATAGTCAAAATTGTATGCTACAGATACGTAGTATAAATTTTAACATGTCATCATCGTCATTCAGCTTGCTAGAGTCCACTGCCGAACATAGGCCCACAAACTGCCTCTATTAACTTGTAATTAATTATGATGTAAGCACAATGTAGAAATAATACCATCATTATAGCAATATAATTTTTATAGTGCACTCTGCAATTAAGATGAAACATTAAAATTTGTAGAAAAATGGACGAAAAGTTTTTCGCTGCTGCGGGAATCGAATACACGTCTTTCGCATTCTGGGCGCGAATTTTAATATTATTCCAATCCTAAATATCGGAATGGCAAAAGACTTCACTGTTGCAGAAATGGGCAGGTCCAGGTACCTACCACGACCTCACAGAAGACTGGCGTTGCTAATGTCAATTGGCAACGTTTATCACTTAACATCAGAGGAAGCGGTAGCTCGCTTGCCACAACCTCACATAAAAAGTCACAAGTAAGCCTAAAGGAACATTTAATAGATCTTACATCTTAATCAGCTATCTCATTGGGTGTACCGACTCATATAGTATGCAACTTTTATTTTCATAATCGATACTCACGCGTAACTTAGACCATACGATGCCTTATCTAACAAGCAGTAAATTATAAACGGTAGGCTCGTGCTGGATTGTTTAGACCTTCTACTATGTAGTCTTAATGTTGAGTAAAAATTTGGTAATTGTTAACAATCTTACGCAACGTTTTATGCGCTTACTCGATGGCTTATCTTTAATCGATGGACAAATGTCACTTTTAAAGTAATTGAAAATTGAAAGTCGATGAAATCTGCTATGTTTTTAGAAAAAATAATCTTTAAATTTTATACAAAGGAAATCCTCAATGACTGCGTATAATGTTCATTATAGGCTAATGTTTGAAGTTTTAAACTTATATAACTTTATTTGAAGTACGAGAAGTGTGAGATATCACGGACACATATTTCTACTTCACGAGCACATATTGATAATATATTTTAATATTAATATCAATACTCGAACATCAGCACCAAGCGGGGAATTTTAACGTACAACGATGTATACCTGAGGAACCTATTAGTTAAGAGATAAATGACAGTTATTAGTTAAATGACAATGTGGAGAGGCACTGGGGCTGCTTAATAAATAAAAATGTACTCCCAACGAACCTAACTAATCAGTTTGAGGTAAACTATAAGCTCGTCTATATAAAAAACCATAAATAAATATGAATCTCTAAAACGTAAAGATTTTATAAACTCTGCCATCGATAATAGCATGTAGACAGACATAGACATAGACATAAACTTCATTTTTTACAGCATGTTAGTTTTGTATTTAAATATTGTCATTCCCTAATCAGTTAACGAAATGTGTATTTATGTTTTGAAGTCAATAAAATGGCAAATTTTCTTTGTAAAAATAAGAAGTTTTAATATATTCGTTTGTATCTTTGTTTAATTATTTTTTATATCATTCGTTTTTATTTTGATTTGCTTTGATTTTCATTTATTAATTATTTAAATTTATCGTTTAAAAATATTTGTAAATTCAAAAAGTATTGCGTGAGGCTGTAAACAATTACTAAAATTTTTATTACAGCCGGACTTCAATCAAACAACTTGAATATATTTGACTACTTACTTCTAACTTTGATACCTAGGGAGTATTTCCGTAACATATGTGAACTGTTCTATTTCCGTTCCACATTAGGACGAAACTTCTCAGTATGCCACCAATACTGTAAAGTGTTCGGGACGACAGGAATTTAAAATAAATTAAAAACGCTAAAATACGTAAATCACTTGTGTACAATGCGTTTATTTGTTCTTTAATTGCTGCTATGTTAGAATTTACAGCATAAATAGTCCACGACATACTGACGTGTCATACCAGCTACTGGTTACCCGCCAAAACCATTGCATTAGGTTCAATTAACCGGGAAGTCTCTAAACATAACACTGATTAACTGAAGAGTCAACCCGTACAACCGTTTTATTTAACAATAGTGTTCTATTAACTTTTGTACTATAATAATATTAACATTTTCAACACAAGCAGGCATAAAAATGTTTGCGAATATGTTGGTTTCGTTTGTGCAAGCCAAAAATTCAAGGGCTAAGGATAATGAAACAATTAACGTTTAACACCGTATATGGTGTCAGCACAAGACTGCGCGTCTATGACCATCACGCTTTATGGTCGTGACTTTGAGCGTGACAATTTTCGGTAAAACTATACTAGCTACCGCAATTACGGAAGCATTAAACTAAAACAAACGAATTTAATGCAAGGACGAATTTTTTCATAATTACATAGTAATCACAGGAAATATTTAGCGTTGAAATACTTTTAGTGGAACATAATTATGTACTGATAGATGCAGGTGGGACAGGCCTATATGGAGCAGTGGACTCTAACAGTTTGAAATGATGATGATGTACAGATATCAATTACACGAAACATTGTTTTAGTCTTATGATTAAGGTACAAGACTAAGGTATGATTAAGGTACATGACTCTTGTCTTGTGGTTTGTTAAAGTTCACCTATTTGCAGCATTAACAGGTTAAAACTAATCGACGTTACATTGTCTTAATACGAGGTGCTCAAGCTCCTGTGAGTGAATTTAATTGAAATTCACAGAGTAGCGACAATAAAAGCTCCCTCGACAACAAGTAAATGAAATTAAACAAAACGCCAGTAATACAAAATCAACGCTTAACGATCACGATCGCAATTCAACAACCTCACGTTTTTGTTTAGGAATTCAACGCACCATAATCAGTTGTGTGAAATGACAACTAATTTGCATTAAAATAGAGCGTCTGGCGACCGCGGGGCATGACCTTACATCAAGTAGCTTAGCTTTAATGTTCGATATATTTGCGAAGGGTACGTCTTTATGTATATTTTTTTTTATGTGAGAACGTGCTTGCGGCTTAGCAAACGAGCTGGCGGTTCACCTGATGTTAAGTGATAATCGCCTGCCCATGGACATTTGCAACACCCGTAGGGTTGCAGATGCGTTGTCACCTCTTAATAATGTGGGCCCCGGCTACCTCACTCACCAGACGAAACGCAGAAGTGCAACACTTCTACTTTACGTCGGTCTTCTGTGAGGTTGTGGTACTTACCCGGACGGACCTGCCCATACTTGCAACAGCGAACACTGTTGCGTGGCCCTATAGTGTAAAAATCTTATCTGACGGAAGGCATACATAATTGTCTATGTTCGATAAACCTTTCACGTCGAATTATGAGACTCTAACAGAATGAAAATGAATAATATTACGCTATGTAGCTTTCCGATAAGACGAAAATATAAAGCTACTTTTTCCATTAAGCAAAACCGTTTAATTTATTTGAGATCGAATAATATATATATTTTTTATATTAAAAGTTCGTCAGCGAGCAGGCGATTCATAATATTAGTTGATACACACCAGACATCGACATCTAGAACTCCTGACGGTACTATGCAAATGTATATAATACATACTTTCAATTCAAATAATCCATACATAATTCATCATCATCCTCCTACCCTTATCGCACCTAGGTGGCACAACATGAGAACCATGTTGTAAGTGGTTTTGGCTTTTTTTTTACGACCGGCCGCCTGACTGACATCAACCGTCCTTGGAAAATAACCCAGATCCCGAACTATTATCTGTGAGTCACACATATACTTGCCCCAAGTGGGAATCGAACCCACGACCCTCACGAAGCCAACGGCTTGGCAATGGCGCCACCGAGTTATCCATATGTAATTAAGTGTTTTAAAAAGAATATGTAATAAAACTGTGTATTAACTGTAAATTAAACTTCCACGTACCTGCATAAGATACATCTTCGCCGGGAACCCTTCCATAACCTGGTTTTCCTCCGTAATCGCCAACCGCCACTGGCCTTGTAGTAATTATTTCCCCATTTGGTTTTGCCACATAACTTGGAACATCATCTGGTCGGACAATCTCATACTCGTAGACCGGTTTAATATCAGGCCTACTCGTATCGTATCCAGAACTGTAATTAGACTGGTTGGTAGGTTTCTGATAGCCATCACTGTGTGGTGGTCTATTATAACCGTAATTTGATTCAAATGTGTTTTGTGCTGAGTACTGCGAATTGTGTAGGCTGCTATAAGAAGACTGGCTACTAGTAGGCCTATCGTAATTATAGGGTCGACTGTTATGACCTGAATAGTTCTGATCTCCGTAACTGGCAGAGTTTCCATAACCTGAGGAATGACTGCTGCCATATCCAAAACTTTTCTTCACTGTGACTTCCACCGTAAGGTTTATTAGAAGATTGGCTACCACCATATGGCTTGTTTAATGACTGACCTCCATAAGAATCATAATTATTGTTATTACTACTTTGACCCCCGTATCCTTGATTAGCACCATAAGGTCTATCATTCGATGATAGGCTACTACCGTATGAAGGTTTATTACTAGTGGTATGGCTACCGTAAGACTGGTTATTTTCATATCCGTTAGAATTTCCGTATCCATCTTCATAAGGTTTATTAGAAGAAAAGCCACTCCCACCATAGGGTTTCTTATGATCATTGGTGGCATATGGTTTCTCGCTTGAACCGTAAGATCCATGATTACTATTGAATTCACTTTGACTGGAATCACCATATCCTTGGCTCCCAGCACCACCTCCACCATATGGCTTGTTATTGGTAGATTGGCTATTTTCACCATACGAAGAATGACTACCGCTTCCATATCCTGAGCTGCTCTGATATGGCTTATTATCTGAATGTTGACTTCCACTGCTATAACTTGGCCTGCTCTCGTCACTACCTCCGTAACCTTGATCGCTGTCATATGGTTTAGTGCCAGACCCGTATGCACCATGATGACTTTGAGCAGATACACCATTTTCTAGGCTCCCACCGTATGGTTTATTCGAGGAGTAATTAGGTTTGTGTGAAGTCTGTACTCCACCGTACGCGCTCTGACTTGAACTTCCATATTCCGGATTACTCCCGTAGGGTTTATTATTGGACAATTGGTTAGTTCCACCATAACTACTTTGACTACTACTCTCATAGCCCTGGTTGCTGTTGTGCGGCTTTTTATTAGGTGCCTGAGAGTTTCCATAACTTTGGCTGCTGCTTTCATAGCTCGCACTTCCACCGTAAGATTGACCACTACTGAAGTAACTATCGCTGCCATAACCTCCTTGACTGGAACTTCCATAACCTTCAGTGACACTGAGCCCATAACCATTGCCATGAGGTCTTTTGTTGGGTTCAAATGGTTTTGGTGTCGATTGTTGCCCGTAAACAGAATCCTGGCTTTCGTGAGGTCTTGTGGGCCGATAAATGGATTCATGATTTGGTCGATGATAACTACCTTGATTTAATGTTCCTGACCCAAAGTATTGAGATTGGCTACTTTGGGAGTGTAAGTAAGAGTTTTGAGATGAGTAAGAGTCATAGCCATAACCTAGATGTCCATAGTCGTAATCCCCATGGTCTAACCCGTAACTTGGTCTACTTGGTCTACTTGGTGGTTTGTATGGCCGCGGTGGATCAATAATTTCCAGATAAATTGAATTGTCTTGACTACCATAATTACTCGCGTACTGACTATTATAGTTATAGCTCGGTTTTTCGTACGGTTTTGAAGATAAGTTGTTATTTGGCTTAGTATGATGGTATGGTAAGTCAGTATCAGTTAGGTCACCTTGGCCTATTGGATCTGGTTTATTTGAATAATCGGGCTTGTTACCGTACCCTCCATCGAAATCAGGTCTCGATAGTGGACGTTTATGTGGTTTTCTGTTTGGTCTTACTATATATTGATATTCAGGTACTTCAGGGCGATATGAATCTGGTCCTATTGGTCTATGGCCGTACATTTCTTCTGGTCTCCAATTTCCTTGTGGCCGTGGTCTCCCATAAGGATCTTGTAACTGTAGAACATCATAAGGGTCAGGTCTTTTATTTGACAAGTTACTGTGAGGTTTCTCAGGTGGATACGGTATGTTTTGGGGTTTGTGGTCTCCGTAACTTGGAGGATCATTGATATCGGGTTTGGAATTATCGTATTCATCAGGCCTTTCACTATTGTAAGCTGGCTTACTGTTACTATAAGATCCTAAATCATCGGGTAACTCATCAGACAGTGGTTTCTTTGAATCTTTAACTGGCTTAAACGTCGGACGATGTAAAAGGCCATCAGGGTCGTCAAACTCTGCTTGTATAGGTGTTGGTGGAGATTGTTCACATTGAAATCTTCGAACATACACATCGTAGTCTGGATGTCGACGTAGAATACTTTTATCTTTAATTTCCTTTTCGTTAAGATTGCCTAGGTTACACGTCGCGTTTCCCTTAGCTCCAACTCTAAAATAAAAGTTAAATAACATGTGCTTAAAAGTCTGCATCATTTTATACATTTTGTATAGTAGTAATTTTTTTAGTATAATTCATTCAAAATGAGTGATAAAAAAGCATGTTTATTCACAAAATGAAAAACGACGTCAATATTTTTGCTATTCCAAAAATTCTTAAGCTTCCTAAAATATAAAATTAACCCATCTAACGGTGGGCATAAAAACTACTAACCCGTAGTCATAAGACTGACACTGCTTATCTTGTTTGCAGATTTGCTCACATTCTTTCGTTGTTAATTCAGATATGTTTCGGTAGATGGCGTCGGTCGGCAACTGCTCACCAATTGAAATGCGCTCAAAGCAATCTGCAAAGTTGAGTGTAAAACTTAAATATTTTGTTTGGGTTGCGAATAAAAGCAACCTTTACTCAGTTATTTTAACATTATGCACTTGTTGAATCTTCGTAAAAAGTAATAGCATTAACTTTCTACTTCTTATTAAAATCTTACCTTCGAGGAATGAAAAATGAGTTTGCATGTGGTACGTCTGTGTACTGTGAGTTTATGATTTATAATAACATGCGCCAGAGCGATACTACTGAAATTCAGCGCCATTTACTTTGACTTGATCAAAGTTTGTTTAGTCCAAATTAGGTCATATGAATATGACAATATCATATGGTAATGATTTGGACAAACAAATTTCGATCAGATCTGAAATTAGTATAGGTTTCGACTTATTTTTTTAGTAACACTAAACATATAAAACTCATCCCAATAATGCTCCAATCGTATAGCAATTCAATTTATGAGAGTAAATAAAACATATAGTAAATAAACATAACCATCGTAGTGAAATAAAAAAATCTTTTACAAAAACGAAAACTGCGCACTACAAAGGACTTCTCATTATTATATTTATAAGCGAAATATAAATTAACGGCCATTGCTGTTGTTCCTTTTAAATGTACAAAGTTTCAAACAGGTTTTAAAGTAAAAGTTAACGTTCGCTACGTTTTGTCTCGAACTTTTAAGTGCAGTTAAAATGATGCCACCAAAATTTAAGCCCTAAATAAGTAAATATATTAACATTACACTACCTACGTTGCTTTTTTTGTAAATTTCATCACTTTGGAATGAGTATAGTACATAGGATACATAATCAAATGCACATTCTAAATGTAGAATTGATTAAAATTACATATTTACCTTACACATTAACAATTATATTAACTACGTTAAGTTTTGTGTTGCTGTAATTGGATTTTTTTCTAATAATGATTTAATTTTCACCACTTATTATAATTATCACTTGGTATTAGAAAAAATAATAAAGCGTACCTTGCTAAGGATATGGCGTCATCTTCGGTCAACAACACAAAGTATGTGATTATTAATAATAACTATGATACATATATATAAGTAATAACTTTAATAAGGGCAACTATCATACGAAAACATTGTACTTAATCATATTTAAAATAAAAATAAAATAATGTTATGCATGAACAGAAATATAGCTTCACGAAATTAAGTAAAATAAACAACAAAGTTTTATTGAGCAAAAACTAAGATGTAAAATATTATGTTCATATTTTTCCTTTTATATTTTTCGTTCATGTAAAATACTTTAATTACCTATACATTTTCATTCAAAATTACTATAATAAATGAAAAATATACAGTAACACAAATTTTAAAATAGTAAAAAAGGCTGAACATAAAAATATTGAAAAACTAATTTTAATACTTTACCTTCAACAGAAGTGCCGAGTTGAGAGTCAATGGTCAAAGTTAGTACTGCAGATACGAGCAACACCGGGCACACTGCTAGGATGTACAACATTCTGACTGACATTCCTATTATCATCCTAATTGATCATTTCTTAAAAATATAACACAAACTAATTAATTACATTACAATACTTTGATCTAATTTTATTCAATATTTTTTCAAAATGTTTTAATACATAACGACGCGCTGCGGATGCCTTTGTTTTTCCCGCCACTGCGTTCGATTCCGCGCCAAGTTGAAACGCGCGCTGTCAACGGACCCGTCCTTTCCAGGGATCAATTGAGACGTCCAGCCAGTTTTGACTTTGCAAATGTTGTGGCGCGGAACCTGCAAATCTTCGTTGGGTGTGACCAAGGCGTCGCGCTCCGATGAACGGAGCACACACTTCCTTGCGACTCATGTGAACCTTAGAGTTGGTTAATCGAACCAACAATGCCAAGAAATACATCATGCTAAACGAACATATGTACATTTCGAAATATCCACCTTGTCCTACTCAGTGCTTTTTTATATTCCATTGATTCGGAAAGGCTTATTTTAAATAGTAATTTTGTTTTATCAGAATACATACCGACTTAACATTAAATGACTATTCTAAACTATATAGTTTAAACATTAAAACAACATGTAAATAACGCGCACTTTCACAACGAACTTCCTATACCCTTCACACCTGCTCAGGACTCAATAAATACTACGTTTTATATCGGCTGTCTGCTCCATAATTTTCAATGATTACCCAATTTATGATAATTGTAGTAATGCATTGTCCAGCTTAATCTCTCAAAAATTTGATTTACCTACATTAGGTGACTGCATCGTTATTTTTAAAAACCAATGTAAGGTTGGGTCCACACTTGCGAAAATGCTTCCGAACTGCTTAATATTTTTATGACAATCCTTACACCCGGGCCTTATTGATACGATCTCCAAATGTTGCACGCAATTTTGTTGTTTAAAATGGAGAGAAATTGTCCTATTATTTTTGCTTTGTGTTCGTTCATACCTTTTACTTTCTGCTTTAAAGAATAGAGTAGAAAAATACAGACGGTTGTAGCGAACCTAAATTTTTTGAAACAGAAATTCTCATAGTATTGTTAAAATGTTGTTAAGGAATCATCATCATCATCAGCCGCAAAACGTCCACTGTTGAACATAGGCATCCCTCTTAGAACTCCACAACGAACGTGTCTTTGCCATTTGCATCCACCGGTCGCCCGCGACTCTTACCATGTCATCGGTCTACATAGAGGGAGGCCTTCCAACGCTACGTCTTCCGGCCGTGGTCCCCACTCGAGAACTTTTACTCCCCATCGGTCATCAGTTCTTCGAGCGGTGTGGCCTGATGTCAATGTTTGGCTTTTCGTGTTTAATGAGTTCCAAGAGAATTTATTGGTAAGTTTTTTTTATTGCATTCCCTGTCTGAAATGTCTGTGCACGCCGCTCGTAGATCTAAAGGTCATCCTATGATGGGACCCACTTTATAAACATAATAAATATGGGGCAATTTTAGAACAGCATTCACACCTTCAGTATTCAGTAGTAGCTCTCATATTGTTGACACAATTACTGAGACATGTTTGTTAAAATATCGCACATGTGGATCTACCCTAAAGAGAGTCGATGCATATAAACTCAGATGAAGTCTCTCCAGTGAACTCTTTTGCGTACACCCGATCTGCGATTGCAGTATTGCCGATGTACTTTAGATCCGCTGGTGACTAAAGGCGCATTACTTTTTGCTGTTTCTTATAGGTACTGACATCACTGATAAAAATGCTTACCAGTGCTATCCGCGAACAAACTCTAGCCATTGAAATTACCCCTAAATAGAGGCCAAAGATTTTTGTGAATCAAAGTTTTTCTAATTAAAGTTTAAAGACCTTATAATTAATGATGATTCATAAAGTTTTTATCGGAAACTCATAAGATAGACATCGCATAATTATAAGATACACATGGGAAGATTCATATTATGTTTTATTATTAAGTCTCGTTAATTTTTTTAAATATAAACGGTCATAAAATCATTTGAAACACAAGAAGTGTTTTAGTAGCATTTACCCGTATTTAAGTAGCCCAAAGTGAACATTGTGAATCACATCAGCAAAAACATTTTTTTGTAAAAACACATTTTATTAAAAACATTAAAACAACAATTTCAGTAGTAATTAACGGAAAGGAGGCATTTACAAAATCTAAAACTTCTTGAGTAATTAAAACTTGGATTTTAGAGCACCAAACAACTATCAAATTCGGCCACTTTCTCACGAGGTCTTGGAAAGGCGCCTCTAATTTTACAGATTCTGAAACTTCTTAAATTTCTAAACCCGAAATTACATGTGGCATGGGTCGGTAGAAATTTATGGATATGATATGCAAAAAATATCCAAAAAAAAAAAATGTAGAATCCTTCATCCAATACTTTTAGTTCATGTTTCTACCAAAAAGTCAGACATTCTGACCAGCAAATATGTAGAAAAGGCCGAGCGTGGTTCAAATATTTTAAACCACATGAAGATCCCTCAAGTGTTTTGTTGATCGAAGGTTACAATAAAAATTTTATGACACCTCTATTATATTTTATAAAAGCATGACTTTTAATGAAAGAAACACTCTACTGAACTTATAATAGAGTAAGTGTGGTTACTGTGGACAGTGAATAAAACAGAAGGAACTGTACACATTACAAGAATTCATATTCATTAAAATTTTCAAATCATATCCGCTAGACTCTTTCGGAGATGAACACAAAGAGCACCAAGTCGAATGAGATAATTAGCCAGTGTACGGTTTTGTTTATCGCCCGATCAGTAGACTGACGGCATCGCGCAAAATTTATTGTAAAATTAATAATACAAAGTGCGTATTAAGAGATGGGAAACTTATATGTCGATAAAAAAATGATTGCGTGAGTTTCATATCCTGTTATAACTGTAAAACAGGATACATGTTGATCAACTTCGAGATATTATAAAGTCCCCAAAGAAGACCAGCGTGAAGTACTAGAATTAGAATGCCACACCTGCCAGAGGTTGACAATGCCTCACTAAACAGACGGTTGGTTCCATGGGGAGCATACCACTTGTTCACTGGCTTAAATTTTACCAAAAGAAATACATCGGTGTACACCCTTACCCGATACTACTGCTTTTATTTTCTCCTTTTACTAGGTTGCCTGGAAGAAATCGCTTTTTAGCGATAAGACCACTTATTGTACAGTTTTGGAATATTTTTGTTGATTATTCAATATCAGTTGTTAGTGTACAAGAAAGTATATTTCATTTCATTCATTCATTCATCAATATCGTATACAATCTTGGACGATTTCTCTACATAAAAATCAATCAACGCTACGTCTTACAATTCTTAATTGTTAATGTTAGCAGCGCGAGAACTTTAATTCCCCATCTGTCTTCAGTTCTTCGAGCTATGTGACCCATTACCACTTCAATTTGCTAAACCGGAGGGCTATATCGGTGACTCTGGTTCGTTTTTTTTTATGCGAATAGTTGTCAAACGAACAGACGGTTCACCTGATATTAAGTGAATACCGCCGCCCATGGACAACTGCCACACCCGAGGGTTACAGATGCGTTGACAAGCTTTTGAAAATTGGGCTCCGGCTACCTCACTCACTAGACGAAACGCGAAAGTATTTGTCATACTTCCACTTTACGCTGGTCTTCTGTGAGGTCGTGGTACTTACCCGGACGGGCCTGCTCATTCGTGTAACAGCCGAGGCTGTTGCGTGGCCCTACCACCGTTAAACAACACGTTCTTCAACAAGTTTCCTTGTTATTTTGTCACGCCAAGAAACTCCGAGTAAAGCTATCTCCATATCTCGTTTTATAAATCACACTAGTTTACTTGAATATTCTTCAATAACACTCAATCGTTGACTAGCACTCTGTACCTCCGCAATTGCGAAACCATTGAATGTCACGAGACACCTTTCCATTGCTTAAGATAATGTAAGAACATCACTACAACAGATGTAATTACGGCTACACTGACCCGTAAACTTTGACCGGCGACGCTCCTGATAGTCTGAACATCGGCCGCGTTTGAGGATAACGCAGCTTATTGTTGTAACACCTTTACTTATTTCGCTTAGAATTAATTTACTCGCGGGTTCGTCGCCCGCGTGTAGGGAATTCCCCATTTACGAAAGTCGGGGACAATTCGCGTCACTCATACCAATTATATTTTTTGGATTTTATTTTACAAAAAAACGATGGATAGGTAACTTTTACTATCACCAAATGCAATAGGGAAGGGTAATTTTTGTACATATATGAGATAACTATGGTAAGGCCACGCAATATCTTCGGCCGCTGCCCGGAAAGACTGGTCCGTCCGAGTAAGTACCACGACCTCACAGAAGTCCCGCGTGAAGCGCAAAGGTTATATTTTGCGTTTCCTCTGGTGAGTGAGGTTGCCGGGTATTCTGCAACCCTACGATTATTGGAAATGTCCATGGGCGGCAATTATTACTTAATATCAGGTGAACCGCCAGCTCTCTTCTGACCTTCTCACATAAAAAAAACGTGGCGAACAGTACACAACTATAATAAAAAATAAAACTATGTAAGAAAATAGTCTTCTTAAGGGCAAGAAAATTTTAAAAATGAATCATGGGGTATGGCCACGCAACAACTTTCTCTGCTACTCCAATGGGTAGACTCACAGAAGACCAGCATGAAGTAGAAGACGAATGGCATATTTTGCCATCGTCTGATGAGAAAGGTAACCCAAGCCTAATGTTTATAAATATTGGCAACGCACCTACTCTTGGGTAATATGGATGTTCATAGGTGGCAGTAGTCACTTAACGTTTTGTGAACCACATGCTCGCTCATAGAAAAAAAAATACAAAGTTGTCGTGGCTGAAAGTCGTCTTATTCTGGTTTTTGTTTTGGCGCCTGACTATAGATTATGAGATAATGCTAAAAAAACATGGGATGTCAAACATGTAGTTTTAACACTCTTATTACGAGCCAAAATTTAAAAAAGTTACAAACATACTAGGTTTCGACGAGGTAGATTAGCTTTTCAATGAA